GGCTTCCTCCCACACAGTCCAAAAACATGTTGAGGTTAATTGGTGATTCTAAATTGTCCGTAGGTGTGACTGTGAGTGTGCTTGGTTGTCTGTCTCTAAGTGTGGCCCTGCGAAGGACTGGCGACCTGTCCAGGGTGTCCCCTGCCTTCGCCCTAAGTCGGCTGGGATAGGCTCCAGCCCCCCTGCGACCCTAATGAGGATTAAGCGGTGTATAGAAAATGGATGGATGGATGGATGGACTGTTGGTCACAGTTGAGTCATTGAAGGCTCAGCGGTTGAGCCAAGGAGAAGATTATTTATTTTTTTTTTTTTTTTTACAGAATCAGTTAGTAATAATAATGTGATTCAGGGTGAAAAAAGGTATCAACTCTTGGGTTTAAGCTGCACCGCTAATTAGCTTAACTCGATAGATTGAACCTAAAGATGACAACAAGTACCATTTTATTTCCTTCTAGATGTCCTCATTGATTAGCAGTGTTGAACATCACCATTAACTATGAGATACATTTATGCTATTTGTTGTTTACTATGTGCCCATAAACTGGGGTTACATTGATTAACTACTATCTTCGATCATTTTGGTGGACTGTGAGCTAACGTCGCAGTAAAAGCTGGTAGATCCACCACAGTGGAAGCAGAAAGGCTGATAATGTGGCCGTTCCTGTAAATGTGACCTCCTTCTATGAATCTCACCTCGCAGCAGCTGAGGTCCACAGACACATCCTTCAGATTGGGGTTACTGGCCAGACCGAGCAGCAGAGCTCTGCAACAGTAATAAAAAATACACATCCATAGTCAAAAAGGAACTATTTGAAAAGTGGAGGCCGACTAAGTCTTCAGTTTGTCTCTGAAAAAAAACCATTGAACTCCTGTGTCTGCAATTTATGCTGACGACACAAGTTTATTTTTTACCTAAAAGTCTGCACATGTACATTTAAATGACAGTATAGATATTTAATAAAGATGAGGAACAAAGTGTACAGAGCTGCAACTCAGACACATTAAATGTGAATGAATCTCACTTGAGGGCCTCCGGCGGCAGCTTGGTTCCTGACACGTTGATGGAGCTGAGAGACTCGGCGCTGCTGAAGAAATGCTTGAACGAAGGAGGAACCTCTTTACCTTTCCTGCAGAGATAGAAAGAAAACAGCAATGAAACAACGCCACTATGTAGATATTTAGATAGATAGGTATTTTATTCATCCCCTTGGGGGAATTCAAGGTCTCCAGTTACTCACATTTTAGAGTTACGGAAAATAACGTGCACATCATGCTGGTAAAATAAATTGAATTTGAGTTTCATCCTTTCACAGGGGTCATGCTAATCTTCTCTATATCACATTCAATGTATTGTATGTGCTGCCTAAACAAGACTACCTATACACAGATCACATAAAATGCAACTTCTCAGACAACAGTAAAAGCTTTTTTTTTGGTTTGAATGCAGCAGCCTACGTTAAGATTTCCCCATCATGTGTGAAAAGCCTGTGACCCACTTTATCTCCTGTTTAAGAAACTCTCCTCACCCCATAAGTCAAACCATACAGACGGAATAATAAAAAAAGAGCATCAGTCAAAGTCTCACATACACCGAAACTCACTCGTAGCACCGTGACTCCACTGCTTCCTCTCTCTGCATTGGCCTCAGTATCCTTTCATTCCTTTCACATTTACTGAACTCATGTCCTCTCTCATCCTCCTCTTCCTCACCTCCCTCTCCTCATCTCTCCTCTCCAACTCCCCCCCCTCTTCCATTGATGTAAGATCTCAACTCCCAGGAGACATACTGGGAAGAGGAGATAATGATGGGAGAAAACTCCACCCCTCATCCATCTGTTACACCCTAGACCTTGACACACAACATTTAAATTGAAATGTGATGGCATGTGGTGACCAGCAGGGGTCACACACCAACATAGAGACACATTTCCTGGAATAAAGGTCTGATGTAAAGGCACTATGTAAACCCAAGCAGTCCTGCACCTCCACCAGAATTTTTTTTAAAAAAAAGACGTTTAATTCTGTTAATAATTACTTATACAAAAATTTAAAGGAGCTGGAATCCACATGTACAACATTTCTCCAAGTGTCCACAGGTGTTATCAGTTTTGGCAAAAAAAAAAGTTGGCTCAGTGTACTTTAGCTATTTTAACTACTTAAATTTCTAATTTGGTTCCATGCTGTGTTTGCACAACCTGCAGTTCAGCCGAGTTCAGTGAAAAAGTTCGTGAATTTTTGTCACGTGACTGTTGGTCACAGCTGAGTCAATATTGGCTTATTGGTTGAGAGTAGAAGAAGAAATTTTTTTTTTTTTTTTTTTTTTTTACAGAATCTGGTTCATGCAAACAGCTTATTTTTTTTAGCAGCTTTGTTGTTGTTGTTTTTTTTTTTTAGATTTTTGGAATAATGGGATTTTGATGAAATATGGCAATCTTAAGCTCAGAGATGATGAGCTGAAAGACTGTTAGAAAGTTGAAAATACCAGGATTTTTTTTTGTAATTTCCGATAAATACAAGATACTGTACAAACAATAAGAGACTCAGCAGGCACGTGACAGGACATTTCAGACATTTTTAATGTTTGTACAGGTTTGGGACGCAGCTAATTATCAATCCTACATTTAGATCCTGAACTCCCAAAAAGATGCAAATAACTACAAATGTCTTCTCAGCTGTGACTTTGAAACCTTTCCGGTAAATTCCCCTTCTGTTCTTGTTTTACACAGACTGCATTCAGCTGTAGCAGAAGCATTACTTCCAGTGTATTCAGAACACCCTGATTAACAAACCCTTTAAGAGACAAGCCAATCAAAATGAATTTTCCTTATCGGTTTTCTGTTATATTTTGTTGTTGTACCTGTGAGGGAAGACACTCTTTGACATGTTGAGAACAGAGAGATGTTGGGCCGATCCTCGCAGCAGAGCCGAGCAAACCTGGAACACACACACAGCATGTCACGGTAACATTTCAAAAGTGAAAGCAGTGGCTGATTTGTTGGTTTCTGTTACAGCATGAATCTTTGTTTTGGAAAGTTTTGATACGTTTCATTAAGATTTCAACTCCTGCAATGTGTTTAGACATGTGTATTTACATGTGGCTCTACGTGAGAGAAACAGAATATGATTTAGGAGCCAATCAATATCCTCAGTGACAGCCTGACAGCTGGCTACATCTCAAGCCAATCAATAAGCTGTGTTTGGCTCTCAGACCCACATCAATACATCACATACAGTATGCAGCAGCAGATTGAGTGGGTGTACGAAAATAGATTAGACTGCATGCAACGCAGATATTAATGCCAAGCACTTCATCATCTTTCAGTGCTGCACAATGAGGCACAATCTAACAGCATGTGTCTTGTAAAATTATCCATTTAGACCCATTTATTCACCTTATGCACCGGGTCGGATGTTATTTGAATTCGATTGACTAACCTGGTCCAATGAGCAGTCAGTGTTGGAGAGGTCAAGGGTCGCCAGGCTGTTGGGTTGACCGAGGAAGTGGTAGAAATGCTGGAATAAAAGCATCAAAAACAAAGTTCAGAGTAAAAACAGAAGAAATCCTTGTGCTGTAAATATCCAGAGAACAAAACAAGGTTTACAAAGTGCTTGGACAGACAAAGCAGGTTCCCAGAAGAAGCAAAAGATAAAGTTGAAACAAGAAGACAACAGACGAAAAAATACATTTTGCATTACGTCAATATTAGGTCACCCAAACAAAATAATGATGTCACATAAAAGCTTACCCATTAAAATGGGTTTTAAGAAGTGGTAACTGGTTCTGCAGCTGTAACTCCTCAGGCAGCTTGTTTTAAAGCCGACAGATCCTGATGTCATTGTTAGATTGAAGCCTCAGCTCTGGACCAACCAGAGGAGTCCTGCCTGAAAGCTGCCAGCTGGCTCATGTGAGGGCAACATTTCTGCTCTGTAGCCTGAAGCTGGATGCCTTAAAAGTGATCAGCAAAATCTTAAAATCAATTCTAAAGCTAGCAGGGAGCCAATGGAGAGAAGCCAGAATCCGAGTGCCGTGATCTCATCTATTGAAGCCAGTAAAAGGCCGAGCTGAGAGACGGTTTAGTGTTGCATCATTTCTTCAGGACTTGCCTGCAGGATCCTCACATTAATCAGTGATCTTTGGAGGCTGTGCTAAGCTAAGCTAGCCAGCTGCTTGTGTCTCAAAGCCTCATACTGTACAGACAAGATGCTGGTTTCAATCTTGTCATCTGTGTTCAGTCCCGCAGCATCAAATGCATATTTCTCTAGATGTTGTTAAGCTCCACATACAACCGGAATTACTGCCTTGCTGTTGTCTGCCTCCACCAACCAGGGAGGTTTCAGTTTAGTCTGTCCAGACTCAAGACTCAAGTGTGTAAATTCACTGAGAGAAACTGAAAAGAGTTACATTGGATTTATGGGTTCAAACGGATGGATGATGCTGCAAAGAAGCAACAAATTCTAACAAGTGGATCCTGCAGAAGATATGGTCACTATCTTTCTTCTGTTCTGGAGTTACGGGATTAAATATTGGCCACAGAAGTGTCTTTACAGAACATGATGAACTGAACACACTGAACTTTCACCACTACAATCTAATCAGTTCATCCTATGATAGGATTTTTGCTTACGAAGGCTTTGAACTGACTGAAATTATCCAGAACTTTTTAGGTGGCAGCCATGACGAAAGCTGCTCAAAAGGTGCTTCCTTTGAAAGGAAACATGTCCCACAATCCCACAAAGACCTAAATCACCAACCACTGCTGTGTCAAGATAATGTAGCTTCGGGAAATTCTCTTTAATAGCTTCTTTTGACCACATCATGTCGTCCATCAGGGAAACGCATCGTTCTCATATGAATGGGATGGACGGACAGAAAAATAATTCCTCTGAGCACACCTGTCTGGCTGCAGTTTCTCTCTCGTGCTTTTATCTCTCTAGCTCTCAGTAGATTTTGAACTTTCCGAGAAGAAGCTTTCCTGCAGAGTGACACCAAACTGATGTGATCTGATCTGAAGAAGCCTCCAACCAGATCAGAGTCACTGATAGCAGCTCTGAGAGGGATCAGAAACTCTCTGAGCGTTAGATTGTGTTTGCAGCAAAACCACACATGTTGTTGGTTTGCAAACAGACGGAAAAAAAAAATCCCTGCAGACAGTAAAAGAGCTTTATTTTTTCAAATGTTGATGCAAAGAAACCCCCAACAAAATATGTTTTCTGTACCTGCATGTCGTCTCCTCTGAGCATGTTCCCTGAGAGGTCCAGATGGACGAGGCTGCTGGGGATGGACGGGTTGGCACTCAGTGACTGGCAAAGGCTGTTCACCCCTAAAAAGCACACAAAAGACACACACAAACACACAACGTCAGAATTATCGCAAACCTCCAATCTCCACTTGATATTTTGACAGCATATTGAAGGAAATGGCAGCGGAAATGAGCAGTGGCTGAAGACAGGAAAGAGCTGGATCAGAATGTAGATGGAGAGTGAAAAGAGCTTCTCGTGGTTTTGTAAAAGTGATGCTCTGCCTTCACCAGCGTCACGCCATATTAAGTATGAAACAGTCTCTCTTTGTATCAGCTCTAAAAAATGTATCGCAATAAATTAATTAACCATCTGAGCCCCAAAACCCAACAGCAGGTTTACTACCTTTTATCAGCGACAAAAAAAATGGTTGGATTTTCATTTTTCTGACAATCTGTGAACTAATCGTGTGTGACGTGCTGTTCCATCAGGATAATCAAGCAAATTTAAGCCTAAAATGTGAATATTTTTACTCCTAAAAAAAATCCTTTGCATTTTCATCAGTCATGTGCCTCCTGAGTCTCTTCTTGTGTTTGAAAGACATGTTCAACCCAAAAAAATCACCAAAATAACACGATTTATCAAAGCCAGAAGCTGCAAAACCACAAAGAATTCTCAGATTTTCAACTTTCTACCAGTCTCTGAACTAATCACCACAATCGAAGCTTAAAATCTGGATATTTTATCGAAATCCTTTTATTCTACATGTCCTATTTAAACAACGTTGGGAAAAAAAACTGCTTGCATTAACCAGATTCCATTAAAAAAATAATTTAAAATTCTGTGTTCCTGAGCAGAACTGAAAAAACATGATCGACTCAGCTGCGACTAACAGTCATGTCACAGAAACTGAGGAAAAAATTTGTCTGAACTGCAGAAAAGCATACAAACCGATTATAAATGTAAGTAGTAAAATATCCCTAGTATGTAGAACCAATGTATTTTTTTTCTGTCAGTATTGATAAAACCTGGGAACTCCTCAAAAACATGTTGATTCCAGAAATTCAACTTGTATATTTTTTCTTTTTTATGAATTTAGTTATACTGCACAAAATGCATTGTTGTCTGACTCTAGCCCTGGCTGTACTGTGTCCATGGAGGTGCAGGACGTCATATTGTAGTTAAAAAGAGCAACAAATGCCCAGAAACTGCTCAGAATTCAGAGGGTGAATTATTATCTAACATCGAGCTCCAAAAAAACCCTCATGAGGTGCTCCAGTTTTCCAGTGATCAGTGTGTGTTTGACAGGAAAATGTATTTCTACGGTACAGTGCACGTGTCTGGTATTGACAAACCACTGACCTGCATCACGTCTATCGCATGACTGACACATTGAACTGACACTTTAATGCTGCCAAACCCTGACGGACTACAGATAAAGATCCGACTGTCTGATCGGATCAAACCGGATGAAAACGAACGCGATGAAGGAAAAATGACTGAAACAAACGGGAGAAGATCAAATGAGCGATCTGCTGAATAATGTACAGCAACGACTGGAGTTAAAACACATCCTCAACCCTCTGCTGTTGCTCTGGGCACCGGGGACATAGATTATACTATCAGTTTAAGCAGAACAAACCCGACACTGTGGAATATGGCAGCTCTTTATTGATCGCCTCAGAGCAGAACATGTTTACTGCCCCTGTAGGCGCTGCACAGTTTACTTTGGACGAGAACCAAGAAGAAATTCAACCTGCAAGTAAAACACGCATTTAATCTAGAAAATACAACGAGCCTAACTACAAGCAAGCCTTTGCACAATCAGCATTTTATGTTTTTTTTTTTCATCATATATCAACTGTACGGCTCTGCTGATGCAGAGAGCAGCATTTACACGAATGAAACATGCAGACTGTGCACAGATTGTCTTTGTACAAACACTTTGCAGATCCGTCTCTCACTTACAGCGTTAATAGTGCGATAATTAAGTCTCATTAGCATGCCGGCTGGAGGCACGATCAGAGAAGTGGAAGATATGAATTGCTTCTGCTCATAGGGGAGCATAAATGAAAACCCAAACAAGAGAGTCTGCTGATCACAACACAACATTTAGATTATTTTACTATATCTTAATGAACCCGTTACCTTTGGGTGACAATGAGGTTTTGGAGAAGTTTAAATGCTTGAGCCCCATACGGAGTTTGGCAAACTGAGCACCCAGCGAGGAAACACCTGCAGCAAGAGACAAAAGGAGAAAATCAGTTTCTTCTGGGCAGTTCTGCTTCACAGGGATGCTGTAGCTTCTTTCTCCCACAGCCAAGATCACTAGGAGGACTTTTTTGATACAGATACAAAGCGTTTTGCACATTAATTCAACACAGATATGATTAATTGTCCATCAGTTTACGTAAATACTCAACTTCTCCGTGTATGTTTTATTAAAATTTGACTATATTTTAACCCTCTAACCTCGAAACCTGCCGGTTAAAAGCCAAGTTTTCTAAATCCTGAGCGCCTCTGCACAACCAAGATGATGTGAGCGACTCAGCAGTCGCATGATAAAAATTGTGTGAATTTCATAATAAACCTGTATGTTTATTTTATTTTGTAGGAAAACAAACTAAACATATAAGTTGTATAATATTTATACTATGTAAATCCACCATTTTTTCCAATATTGATAACACCTGGAGACTCTTGGAAAAATGTTGAAAATGTTGATTTGAGTTTTTTGGTTTTTTAAAAATTTCTGTACAATAAATAATCAAATCAAATCATTTTTTCATTTTTGTGATTCTTTTTTTTTAGGATTTACGCATCATGACTTTGCTATTCTGTACAATAGACGTGTTTCTCTCCTTCTTTATGGTTGTTATGTTTCCACAGAGATGCAGGACTTTATATTGCAGTTAGAAAATTAGTCCACAGTGAGGAAAAATGAGACAGGAGCAAAGAAAACGCAGCCGCTGGAAGTTCAGAGGGTCGCATTAGGTTACATATATAAATGTGGGTTACAGTGCCTGGCTATGATAAACCCTGCTTAAAATGAACTCCACCAAAATTGTTTTCTTGTTTACATTTTTGTTAATTTCTAAAATGTATATTATATGTAATCAATCACAACAACTTCTGAATAGTCTAACAAACAGTTTATTTTGTATATATATATATAAAGTATTTGTATAAAAGCATAAAGCCGCTGATCTATTATGTGAGAGGAGTCTCATCATTTTCAACAGATCCTGCTGGTAAATTTTACAAGACAACAAATAAACCAGAGAGCCCCAGAAATCTGTTGCATGTTTACATGTGACAGGCCGAATATTTGGTGGAATCTATCTTTAATTCATGTGTCCTGGATAGAATGAAGGTGATGAAATATTCAGCTTATTGCAGAATAACAGGGGAACATGGCTGCAGTACCATGATAGGCATGCAGGAGGAACTGCTCCGCCTCCTGAGTCTGATTCTGGTCATTTTAATGTAGACAGCAAAGGAAGCATGTCTAGAAATGTAGTTGAAATAAGCATTTACTGTACAGAACAGACAAGAGCACAGCGGCAGAACAACAGACCTGAGATGAATACATTAGCACAGACGTCTTACCTCTGTCCTCCAGCGGGTTGTTGGCCAGATTAATGGTGGTGAGCCCTGAGCTGGGGTTGTGGGCCAGAGCAGCAGCCAGCTTCTGGGCAAAATCTCTGCAGGTGGTGAAAGGGTGTTTCCATCATATGATCAATGTGCTGTATGTGTACAAAGCCTGAGCATAATAAATATTCATTTTGTTTGCCACAGCAGTGAAGCAGAGCTGAATGAAGCTGCTCTGAGAGGTCACATTAGTACTGGTGAGGCAGCGACCAAATGTGTTCTGCCAGTAAAATCTTCTCAAACAGCTGAATACACAGAAACGGCATAAAAAAGCCACCGTGTCAGCAACGGATTCAGCATCAGAACTTGACCCAGAAGGAGCTATTTTCCTCACGGAGCTGACCGAAACTGACGTCCCTCTGCAGCTGTCAGTTTGTGCATTTTAAGCCTAGTTTTGGGGTAAACGTCGAACATTTAACCTGGTTGCATACACACTGAACTGTTCCTGTTGTTTTCATACCAATTAAATCAATATAAACTGATTTTTATCACAGATATGTGCAGTGTTATATAAGTTACATGGTAATGTCGGCCCTTTTTGTTTAAAAGTGCACTCCAATGACTTTGTATTGGACCTTCATATAGCTCGGGGAGTTCTTAAAGATACATTTACAAAATTATTCTAAAAAGGTATGACTGTGGCTGTTAGTGTGGGTCAAGCTCCAAAATAAATGTAAATGCAAAGTAGCTTCTTCTGCTTGACCCTTTTAGTGAAACATCTTTACATCTTAATTCCCTGCAAACAATCTGAAGGCAAACAATGAAGCTTTGACTTTCTAAGAGTTTCCTCAGAATTTTCTTTTGCTTATTACCTGCAATAACAAGCTCAAACTAAGTTGACTCTAATGATTACACATGGCCTCACTTTGAGTCTTTGACATGTAAAATTCTTTGGGTGCCCCTTATCTTACGTTTTGAGTCCTGCGTTGTCCAGAACCAGCTCCTCCAGTCGACTGGATCGGGACACCACACGAAGGATCTGCTCGCACACATCTGCAGACTGAATACAAATGTCAGATGACTTTACATCATTTATCAGAGAGTGAAAACAGAAAGAATTGTCAGACTTTTCAACTTTCCGAAGGTCCTTGAACTACTCAAATTGTGATATTTTGTCAAAATCACTTGTGTCTCATTTAAAACTATGACAAAAAATAAACTGTTTGCAATAGATTCTGTAAAAAACAAACCTGAAAATAGAAAGATTCTCTGCTGTCTGGTGCAACCATAAAGCCAAAAGGTACTCAGCTGTGACCAACAGTCACATGACAAAAATTCATGGACTACTCAGGTGAACTGCAGGCAGTGTATGGAATGAAATTAAACATTTAAGAAGCATATAGTATATAGAGTTGCAATCTCTTTCCAGTATTTTGAAATTTTTGCTAAATAAATAATCATGGTAATTCAGCTTTTTAAAAAATGCATGGCTTTACTTTGTTACAGTAACAACACTTTTGTTTTTTGAGTTCTCTCTACGTCTGTCCATGACTGTGCTGTTTCCATTTAGGTGTAAAACTTTACATCACAGTAAAAAATGATGAGTAAAAATATGCCAGGAGCAAAAAACACTCAGAACCGGCGGAGAAGATATTATAGTACAACCATCTCTGCAGTTTTTGATTTAGTACCAAAGAAAAAAAGAGTCATTACATATTGAAAGTCACACCCAAAGCTGTGCAGTATTTCTTATCTCTCTGATCAAATAAAATACTTTTCTTCATTATTTTTAACCAAAAGCACAAAAATACACTAATTAACTGAAGCAGCTCCGAGGCTTAAAAAAACACACTTTAATCTAGAACAGCAAAACTCACTCACTACAACACTGAAGGTCACAGAAAGAACACAGAAATGTACTTTTTGCTTGATTCCCTCAAGTGTTTCTGTGCGGAAAACCTCCAGGAAGCTGCTCATTTATGCTAATTAAAGCTGTAGAACGCAAAAAAAAAAAAAAACAAGTGAATTCTGTGTGCTCCACTTAAAGATCAGTTATGCGTGACGAAGAGAGGCGACTGTGGACACTTTGCAGGGAGAAAGTTGTCTCGCTTCTCTGGTCTGGGCTCCACAGGAAACAAAACCCAGGGGGAGCGAAAGCACTCATATTTAGAGAAAATTAAAAATTCAACAGCTGAATGTCGACGGCCCACCTACATGTTCACTGACCCAGTTCACTGTGTGCTGCGTCATTCTCCGACGCCACACGGATTCAGCTCTGACTCACAACACAAACAGCTCCCATTATGATAACACAACTTTTATTGGACCATTATGCTGTTATTAATCTTCGCAGTGACATTACAGCTATAAGGGGCTGTTTCTGTTCGCCAGCAGCCTCAGCGTGGACAAAACAGTGGCAGCATTGTCCAGAACTTGGGGGGGGGAAAGAAAGACGGGAGATAATGGAAAGAGACAAAGATAGAAGAAAGCGACTATTGTTTCACGTGTTTACTCTGCGAAACTATGAGTATTAAAGAAGAGGAATGAAGGATGGAGGGCAGCGAGGGATGAGGCGTAATGCAGAAAAAGGAGAAGAGGGGGTAGTGAGGGATGAAATGGAGAAAAGGAAGGAGAGGGGAGCTCGGCGGAGGAGGGACAAAGGAGTCAGTATTTTCCACAGCAGTCACAATAACACTGCCGGTGACGGCGCAGAGACTCTGTCAGCATGTGGATTGTACCATTATTAAATAACTGCCTGGTCACGCTGTGCTGTTCTGACCTGGTTTTGCTGCAGAATCACACGCTGAGGTGATCAGAGTCCTCTTATCGCCCTCCTCTCCTTCTCCTCCTCCTCCTCATTTTTGGCTCAGCATCTTGATTAGGCCACGAGACAAACAGGCTGATTGAACTGAGGACGAGCAGCTAATCCCTCGCTGTGGAGCCTGCAGAGTGTGTGTGTGTGTGTGTGTGTGTGTTATATTATCCAGTCTGCTGATAGAGATGGTGATTCTGTGGCCTGAAGGCTGCGGATTAACTGTCAACCACTTGTGCTTTTCTTTTTCCTGCAGACCGTTTCTTTTCTTGTGCAATAGCTGCTAACTGTTACTGTGCCGCTTTTCTATTGTGTGCAATGGTTATGTTTTTTTTTTTTAACTGTATTTTTTTTTTTGTTTTTTTTTTTTAACTGTAATGTAATGTGTGTCTTTTTAGCTCTAATCTAAATGTTGCTGCATCCTGAATAGAAGGACAAAAATGGCTTTCTTCTTCTTCTAATGGGTCACCAGTACAGATACAACAGTTCAAAGCAAATCCAAGCAAAATCAAACAAATCTAAGCCTAAAATTGTGACATTTTCTCAAAATTGCTCTATTCTACGTCTCGTTATATAATAATGAATTATTTAACCCTCTGAACCTCAAAACCCTGCATACTAGTGTGAAAGACATGTCATCTTCCCCCCAAAAAAGGCAAATTATCCCATTTTTCAGAGCCAGAAAGTGTAGAAACAGAAAAAAAATGATTTTCAACCTATTCTGAGAGTCTGTCAACTAACCATGTGTGTTCCTTTTTTCTGAAAATTAAGCAAATCTAAGCTTGTAATCGTGATACTTCCTCAAAATCACTTCATTCTACATCTCATTATAAAATTAAAAACATGACACAATCATGTGAATTGTCCTCACACAGAGCAGAGAGGAGACAAGTACTGCAACAAATCTGAGCAATTGAGAAGAAAATCAAAAATACTGGATCAATAAAATAAATACAGCATGGTTTAGAAACAATATACAGAGGAGTAAGATGTTGAAAGATACATTCAGCATGGTGACACATCTTTCTACAGCTGATGTGTAAAGTCACAGGACAAAAACTGAGAGATTTTACAGCTGAACTGCAGGCTTTGTTTACACAGAGCGGCTAGGATGGAAAGAAAAAATGTTGGACATGCTGATTCCACTTTTTGAATTTATGTACGAGGTGTGTCAGAAAAGTTCCAGGACTGGTGTCACAAAAGAAAAATTTCAAACCTAAACTACAAACTATGAGTTTTCCCCCTTCAGACCATCAACCAGCACATCTACAAAGAGGTCCTTTGCTTTGTTCAGTGCGTGAGAAGAGGCGAGAGTTGTGGCAGGACAAGTGGTGGCTGCTTCACCATGACAACACACCTGCTCACAATGTCCTGAGCATCCGACAGTTCCTGGCTGAGAAGAACATCGCCGTGCTGGAGCAACCTCCCTACTCACCCCACCTGGCTCCATGGGATTTGTTCCTCTTCCCCAAGCTCAAGGGGGTCATAAAGGGGACCCGTTTTGAAGACCTGGACGACATCAAGATGGCTGTGACGACAGAAGATCCCGCAAGAATCCTTCCAGGAGTGCATGGCAGTATGGCAGAGAAGGCTGGAAAAGTGTGTTAGACTCCAGGGGGATTACTACGAAGGGGAAAACTTGTAGTTTGTAGTTTAGATTTGAAACATATCTTTTGTGACACCAGTCCTGAAACTTTTATACCTCGTAAAATAAAAAAAAAAATGAAGTTCAGACTAAACTTTTTTTGGCATTATAACTAAAGGCATTACTTTTTGCCATGCTTGTGCAGTTTCCATAGAAAGAAAATGTAAAGCGCATAAAATACACAACTAGACTAATTTCCTTATTCATCTGGCATCTCTAATCTTTGCTTTCTGTCATGACTTTCCCTCTTTCACTCTGTTCCTGCCTTGTTATTCTGTCACACTTGCTATTGTTTCTGCTGGCACAATTAAAATAATATTGCAGCCCTGATTTCTGCAGCTTCTTCATTAACGCTGTCCAAACATGCACATGTGTAGAACAGAGTGGGGATACATAGGAGACTTTAACCATAAGCTCCTAAACCCACAAAATACCATTCAAACACTGTCCAAACATAACAAGTGGCATCCATCACCAACAATAGCCCCAAAAAAAACATAAAACACTCAGCTCAGGGTCCATTATAAAACACTAATCTCAAACAGAAAGGACCCACATTAGACATGTGCCTGCGTGAACATTCGTGCCTAAATCTGCACGCTGGATTCTAAAAGTCGATACAAAAGGAATCGTGTGTGACGGAGGCGTGAGATAATTGTTTGGACGGAGGGAGCTGTGTGTGGTAATTGGTGAGACCGAGCGAAGCCTTGAGACGCAGCGCTGGTAATGGAGTGCTGCAGGGGGGCAGCAGCCCAAGACATGGAGCCCCTTTGTCTCGGTTGGATTAGGAGTCTTATCATACAAGAACATTGGACTGATCCTCGGTCAACAGACAGGAGGAAACAAAGGGGCGAAAACTCTGCACAGGCAGATACGTACAGCCAGAGGTGAAGGGAAAGATGTGGTGTATGTGAAGTGGAATATGCAAAACAACAGCGAAGGAGGCACAAACGATCCATCATCCAAACCGAGCTTCATCCAAAGGAGAGTAGTGGCAACAACTGCAGCGGAATGAACCTTTAATCAGGTGCCAATCATTACCTGCTCCAACACAGTAATAAAATTCAATCTCTGCTTCATCAGAATTGGCATTTTTTCCATTAAAAATTCAGAGCCAGAAAATGTGGTGGATCGGATTTTAAAAATCAAGCAAATTTGAGCTTAAAATTGTGATATTTCCCCAAGATGACTTCACTCTACATCTCATTAAAAAAATAAAATAAAATAAAAACTGTCGCGGTGCACAAATTCAGGGTTTGTTCAGGTGAACTGTCATCAAACAGAGCAGAGAGGACACACGCATTGAAACAAAACCGAGCAACTAAGAGGAAATTAAAATCTACTGGATCAATACAATAAATGCAGCACGGCTTAAAAACAGTATCCAGAGGAGCAAGCTGATGGAAGATACATTCAGCATGGTTAGTTTGTAATTCCTGTAAAAGTGTAATTGGGAAAATATCTATAGTATGAAGAGGCAGCTTTTTTTTTTTTTAACAATTGAGGTCATTGTATGATAGTCATGCAAAGCAATATCAGCCCTCCAGTCCGTCAGTTGGCAAGATATCTGGAAAAATAACAATATTCTCATCAGCTATAGCTGTGCCTATAACTGACAGTCAAACCACCAAGCTAACAACCTGAACGTAAACAGTGTTCAGGGTAAACATGATGCCTTCTTAACATCATCCTGTTAGTTTGTCTCTGTTAACATTTTGATGTTGGTCATTAAAGCTGCAGTAGGCAGAAATCTGGAAAAGCAAAAACAACAACTAATGTTCTGAGTCCCGTCCAGCACACAAGCATGTATTTCAAGCTAAACGGTCAACATTCATTTTTAAAGTTTATTTAACCCACCACGCCACCAAATCCTGTTCTCACTTTGCTCTTTATACACTCTCATTTGCCAAAAAGCCTACTGATTGGCTAAAATCTCCCTCCAGAGTTTCTGAAGCGAAGAGAAGATGCAAAAGTCTAGTTTCCTCTCATACCACTTGAATTAGAAAATGCTGACAGGCTAGGATAATAAAATACCACCCGCCTCAGTTTAAAGCAGAAAATTTGAAGTCACAGAGCGGTCAGCTTTGCTATGGACTTGATTCTCCTTTTGGTTTGATCAGCTGATGGGATTTGACAGACTTTTTCTTTCATATGGCAAAAAACACCAACAACTATATTCTACTGCAAGAACTCGTGGGTCATTTTAAGGCATCCTAAGCTTTAGTGTGTGTTCTGACTCCTGCAGAACCTCTTTCAAGGGAGGAAAAAAAAAACAACAACCTCTAGGCTGTGAGAAAAACTGTTATGCAGGTCTTGATGCTAATCGCTTAAACTTGGAGAAGACATAAGGCGGTTTTCCACTGCAACTGGAGACAGAAAAGCTGATTAGGGGCTGTTCCTGTAAACGCCACCTCGCGCCTCAGTGGAAAACTGCCTTTTGATGAAGCGGGAAGCACTGTGCTGTAGTAAAGCAGCAAGGAAGTGAGAAACAGATTTACACAAGTGAAAGGAGGAAACTGACAGCAGCTTTCCTCACTCATTTCAATCAAAACTGGACCGACACCATCGTTTATATCAAGCAATGTTTGAGAGCATGTGAGTGGTGACAGAAACTGCTCTGATGAGAACGTAAAGAGGTGAATAAATATATATTTGATATAAAAGAGGAGGACAAAAAGCTCCAAACAGTCCAACAGCAGCAAACTACAGCCTCAGAAACAACCACACAGCTGGATCAACACCTCAACTAAAGCTGAGCCTTCATGAGAGGAACGTACCAGTTTGTAATCCTTGGTGGAGAGCTTGGTGAACCACTGGTTAAACTCCAGGACTGCGATGATAGCGACCAGATCCCTGAGGAGGAGGAGAGGAAAGGTCAGAGCTGCCATTACACACTCTTCTTCATCAGTTCCACCTTCAGCTAACTGTTGACTACAACAAATCATGTATCCCCTACAGTGCCTGCCTTTCTGTTTTCTTTTTGTTTTCTCCCACATGGTCCTCGTCTGTGTACACCTTGAATGTTTACATGATGCTCCGGTAAAATGAGCACTCACCTGTTCTCCAGGTGGCTGAAGTCCTGCAGGTTGAGTTCTCTGGTGTCTTGCGTCAAATAGATGGTGTCTACATCCTTGAGAGGAAACAGTTCATTAAAGATAACAGCATCTGACCACAGAAAGAGCAGATCAGGCGGCTGCTCGATATGCTCTCATCACACCAAACTCTCACTGGGCAGCAATAGCAATCCAGGATTGAACCATTATTTTTAGCAGCAACAGCAACAAACTACCTGTGAACACCCCCCGCATTTTCACAACTTTGAACTCGCTCAACCCAGTGGAAGCTGTTGGGTGTAACTTATTCAACGTGCACTGAGTGTTTATTCGGAGTCGGCTCCAAACTTATCGACGACTTGTCAAAGAAGTCGGCACTGTGGCTACATGTTGTTCAAATGGATAGCCAAAAAATAAACTATAAGCTTTGCAAACACCAGCTGCAACAGCTAAGTTGTCTAAATTGTATCCCTCAGTAGTCAGTGTGCTTGATGATCAGTCTTTGTAGTCTATTTTTGGAAATCAATATGGGCGGCTGGTTGGCTCCAAGTCTGTTGTTATCGTTTTAATTAAAAATAAGCAGTTCAAAATGATTTAATGTGCTGCAAACACTGGCTTTTTGTGTGTATTTACAGTTCATTTAGGCTAATAAACTTGGCAGGTAGAGTCGATTTAGTTTATCTACACGCAACGTGAGTTTTTTGGTTGAAGAGCAGGTAGGATCCGAATTAACCAAGGCTTTCTTTTGTTGACTGCATCCCTGTTGCACATAATGGATGAAATATTTACAGGAGAAAAAGATGTATTCTCTTTTGGACAAGAAGAAGCATAAAAAAAGATCTTGAGATACAGACATGAAGGAGAGGCTACTGCATAGATTCATATATTGTGGCTATTCTATGAATGAAAAGACTTTATGCAGTTTCATGTCATTCAGCCAGCAGCTCTCAGCACAGTTGAACCAGGATCTGTCAAAGCTGTGAAACTGCACAAATATAATGTAAATAACACTTACCCACTGCACCTCTTCTCTGTACGGCAGCCCCAACCAGTCACAAACACACCTGTACATCTGAGAAAACCCACCTGCACACACAGACAAATGGAAATCAAATGGAGAACAAAACAAAGGGGAGCTGAGACAAGGGGATTGTTAACTTGACACTACAGATTTAATGAGAAACCACCATTTCCTTCGCCATATACAACTACTAAAGTAGCAGCAGTGACTTAAACCTTTGGTGCACACACACATAATTGCAGCATTGAAACACAATTAGAAAGTCACAGGTTCCTACCGCAGGGTCCAGGTTCAGCAGGCTTGTTGTTCTCCCATAGAGTCTGCAGAGAGGGCAGCCGGTCTGGAGGCTCCATGCAAAGCTTCTTCATCACTTTACTGAGGAGAAAAGACTCTAAGTATTAAAAATAAAACTACCTGAACAGCAGAAATTAAAATCTAGTGGTAAAAAAAAAAAAAGCTCAAAAATACAAACATGAGACTCTTGATAAGATCAAAGTCGCTTGTGTGGTTCACAATACGAGGTTATAAATGTTTATGGTTTTACATCCGTGCTCATTTCTGCATTATATTCATGCTTCCTGTTCTCGATGAAAAATAATAAATCAGATTCACATCAGTGTTGCAACATGATAGTATCTCCACATACATGATATTTTTGGATGTAAAATACAGTACATGTGGATGCAATGTCCAACCTGTAACTTACCGTAATTTCCAGACTATAAGCCGCTACTTTTTTCACACACAATGCGGCTTAAACAATGATGCGGCTAATTTATGGATTTTTCCGAATTTGCCTCGAGACGAAAGTGACATTGAGAACGACAACAAAAAAGAGACTGAGGAAGTGTGTGACCAATTCTGAGGCTGTTCAATTCAGACACTGAAGAAGACGACTTTAGTGGTTTTAGTGCGCAGGAGGAAGATGAAGAAAGCGATCAATGACTTTTCCTGGTAGGTTACAGGCACTGTTCGGAAAAAAAGCATTTACGGTACGTATTTGTGTATGTTACTGGTATGTATTTAATTAAAAGTTTAAAAAAATCTTTCCTTGTAACATCTTTCTTTGTAAATATCTCATGTTACAACGTGGACACCTGCGGCTTGTAGACAAGTGTGGCCTACATATGTACAATTTTATTTTTTCTTTTTAAAGTTAGTGGGTGTGGCTTATATTCAGGTGTGCTCAATAGTCTGAAAATATACAGATGGAGTTGATATTGGGTTAAACCTGGAAGAATTACTTGAATTAAATAATGCAGCAATAATCTGAGCAATAATATTAATATCAGTTGCAATATTACTTTTCACAATAATTTGTGCGATATCAGTTTCTGCATCATGCTGCATTTCATTTTAATGTGCAAAATGTCATTTCTCAAGTGCAATATTTCAGTTTCATTCGCAAAACTTTGATCATATTTGCAATATTTTACTTCCCTGTACAACAATGTTAATGTATTGTGCAATATTTCATTTTAATCTCATTTTTCAGGAGCAATTTTGCATTATCATGTTATTTATTATCTCAGTATCACTGCAATCATTACTTTATATTGTTCTATTCTAGCCATTATTTTAGTTTACTTTTCATATGTTGGTATTGTATCGTACTAACATCATATTACTTTTTCGTCACTGCATCTAATTAAGATAATATAAAAACTTCATTAATCCCAAAGGGAGTTCTTGTGCCAGATATTACCTAGAAAAAGCAAAATGACACAACATAAGAAACAGTGGCTAAAAAGTCTAAAAGTAATAGGATATAAGTACGATGCAATACTGAAATGATATCAGTAAACTAAAGTAGGGCTAGAATAGATCAGTAAAAAATAATGCTGTGTCATTTATTTTTTTCTGAGCAACATCTGGCACAAGAATTTCCTTCTGGATTAAAAAAGGTTTGTATTTTATCTTATCTGTTGTACAGAGTCAGATCTGTAAAATACGACTATTATATACGACGATTTAAATCCACACATGGATAGAGATGATGAACTCACCTTGGAGGCAGACCAGGACATATCCTGAGCAGACAGTTTCCTATGTGAGCCACCACGTCATTGACCTCCTCTGTGGACGGCAGCTTCAGAGAGAAGCAGCCGCGTTCGTACTCTATAGACAGCTACACAAACACAGTGTTCGTTAGTGGTCCAGTTCAGCTTTTTTTTTTTTTTTTTTTTTAATCACACAGCTTGTGAGAATAGCTTATGAGCAGTGTAGGAGTTCAGCATGAATGTGTTCTTCCCTTTGTTTCATATTCAGCTTTTCTGCTTCCACATATCCGTCTATAAATCTACCACGTCCATCTACATCCACTCAATCACTGCTCTATCCCACATCTCTGCGTTAGGCAAACGTAAAGATTTAATGATGTTAACCAAGATGGGCTAACCTATTCCGCCTGCATCGCAATTATGCAAATGCTGCTGCAAGGCGAAACGAGCCTCTTCAATATGCCGCAATTAACATAATCCTGGCCGGTGCACGGGAGACCATCAGTCAGATATTAGCAGGACTGACATCCCTCCAGATGAGGAGCAGGGAGAGGTTCAGCTGCAGGAAGGCTCTGGTTAGCGACGGATTATCATATTTTGTAGGTAGATTTTGCAAACTGACAGCTCGCCAGCTCTGGTCAAAAAGCCAAAAGAGGCTCAGCCCAGATTTTGCTTTCAGTTTGTCATGTAGTAATGGGTTTCTGGAGATTATACAAGAATTCAAGATATTCTGCTGCCATCTTTTCAGATTTGGCCATCTAATGAATCTGCTGTGATTCTGGGCTGAGGCTTCAAAGCAGAGAAGTTGGGTTTGGGTACATATTTGAGCAGACATCCACTATGCTGAAATGTCCCTCAGTTAGAGGAATCCTGAGGCCTTTGACAACACTGGACATAAGGGACGAATAAAAAGATTTTCCAGCAGTAGTTTTGGAACTTCTGTATACATCTTTGAGTGAAAAACATTTGGACCACTCACAGATAGAGAAAATACTGTTGATTACAGGACTGACAGACTTAAAAAACGTGCTGAAAATGTGTCTCATTGAGTTCATGTCTTCACAGGCTGGAAGTGTTTCGGCAGCAGGTGAAGAACCAAGAGGCTCTTAATGCTTTGGTCATCAGTGTAAATCTGCCAGTTTGTATTATAATGAGGAAATCAGATAAACTTAATGCAACTTACCTTCTCCGGCATCCTGCTTTCTTTATGCATATAATATTATCTGTTTGTTTGTTTGTTTATGAGGCTTTTCTGTCACTGTGAATATATTGTTTTCTGCTTAAACAACACTGCCTCACCTTTAATAACATGAACCCACAAAGGAGCGAAGTAAAATACAAAGTCTTCATAAAGTTTGTCTATACTGAACTTTGACTGTGAACCATGTGGAACAGCTTCAAGTAACAATTCTTTAATCCGAAAGCATAAAAACAGTATGAATCTACTTATGCAGTATTGGATAAACCAATTTAAACCGATGCTTACAATTTAAAGTAATATTTGGACAAAGTGTGGTCCACCTGTTGACTTCTCAGCTGAGATTTGGGATACAAGATGAGTACTTAGCTCTAGTAAGCTTAGCATAAAGGCGAGGGATGTCCCATGAGATTGGGACTAAGGCCGATAAAAGCAATTTTTACCTGATCGCCAGAAAGTACAATTTGTTGATTACATTTGCTGCTACACAGTGAATAAGACATTATGGAACATGGTGTACGACTATCCCAGCTTGATTTAAGGCTAGTGCTCTGGTTGGATGTCATTAAGCATCAGTCAAGACTTTGTCATGATGCCTCCTTACTAGCTGAACTACCACAGTGTGATCTGACATGCTGTTCTTCTGTTTTTGTAGGTCTCTTACTGAACTTTGGAGAGAACCATGCTTGCACCACTTCTATGCTAAGCTAACTTCAGCGCCAGCAGTTACACAGAATCACATATATCTTCATCTCACTCAGCAAGAAAGCAAACAAGAGTATTTCCTAAAATGTAGAACTTTAGAACCTTTAATATTTTTGTGCTGCCACAGTGTGTTAAGGTTGTGTACCTGTGTTGGCTTGTTGCAGGCAATTCCCTGAATCTCCAGATAATTAAAGGAGTGTTCCACCTAAAAGAAGAACACAGATGTTACATGAAAAGTTTCATACAAAAGCAATAAAGTCATATGGAAGAGGTATTCGGTGAGTATCTGAACTGGTTATAATAAGACATACGCAGTGTTTGCAGACTACTTCTAACGTGTTTGGAATGAAAAGACTAACTAACTAACTACAAATAAAAATAAAATAAAAATGTAATAATAATAATAATAATAACAATAATAACAATAATGGTAAGAAGTCCAATATTAATCCTCTGTACCCCCAAAAAAGGCATGTTTCCTTTTACAAATTCACCAAAAGTACACCACTTATTAGAGTAGGAAATTGTTAAAGATTGTCAAATGTATGCTGCTTGACATACAATTATATAAAGAAAAATAACCAAATCTAAGCCCAAAATTGTGATATTTCATCAAAAGCACTAGGTATCTCCTCAAAAAAATACACCAATAATGAACCATTGGCACCAGATTCTGTATAAAACTAAACATTCTGCACAGCTCAGCCTGAGAAGCCACAAGTTTCTCAGCTGTGACCAACAGTGACGTGACAAAAAGTCAGGTGAGCTGCAGGCAGTGTTTCCACAGAGCAGAGAGGAGACAAGAAGAGAGACTGAGAGGAAAATAAAACATACTAAATGCAGCATGGCTCAAAAACAGAATACAGAGGAGCAGGTTGTTGGACGATACGTTCCGCACGCTGAAACATCTTTGTACAGTTTTTATTTTTTAATCAAACAGTATAAAGCTGAGATTATATTAGAGTGAATGAATATGAAACTGTGCATCCGTGCAGTATACATACAGTATCTCTAAGAGTAAATAATACATAAATAACAGCAGTCGAGTACAGTGACTGTCTGTCTAAGGAATGCAGTGCACAAGTATGTCTGTTTCATAATTAAAAGGCAGAGCTGCAGTAATTTGTCTCTCCGACCGATTCATCACTGACTCACACATTAACTAATGTGTAGCATCAGTAGGCTTTAGCCCAGAAGATGCTTTTATCCCACATACCTGCATTTCAGTATTTCATTTCTACCAGCTAAATTCTAGTTCTTGTGCCTTTTCTGTTTTTCACTGTTTAAAATTTGCATCATGAGCCAGCCGGAGCACTTTTAGATCCTCGTTTGTCTATTTCTGTTTCAAGAGAGTGTCTCAGGACAAAGAAAACAAAGAGGCCGTCCTGCCTCCCTATGCCTAAAAAAAAAAAAAAAAGGAAAGAAAAAGACTTTTGTTTCATGTGAGGTGGGAAACCTGTGCATACAAATCTAACACTGTATACTGAGCACAGTTTTCCTGAGCGCGCCGACAGTGCAGCGCCTGAGGGCAGGCCAGGAAGCGAGGCCAGACTATTGCAGACTATTCCAGGTGGGCGCTGAGCTCCTGAGGCTTGGCTCAGAGATGAGAGGCGAAGCAGACTGTCTGTCTACTGTCTGCGTTTCAGCCTGTGGCAGCTTACTCCACAATAAATACACAATAACCATCCTGCACTCGTGGTACAGCGCAAACACACACACACACTCCATTTCCATTCAGCGTTTTAATGAGCCTGACAGACAGAAACACAAAAGAGGAAATCAAAGCTCAGTTACCGACATGTTCCTCCGACACAATTAGCTTTTATCAATGACAAGGAAACAGCAGAACCAGAGAGATTCTATAGGGATGTTAATGTAACTTATAAAAGAAAAAAATAACATATTCTTCCTCGTAGAAAGAAAATTTCATGAACAATAAAACTACAACCTCCTTTAATAAAATACACTCTGATCTGACAGCCAGCTCTGTCTGATAGCTTAAGGTGGTTTAATTAAACTAATTATAGCAACATTTAGGTCGATGTTATAGAATAACTGACATTACAGAGTCATTCTGTCTTTATTATATCATGTACAAGATATGAATGGACGCTAATTATCACCACAACACAGATGGAGCAGAGAACAAAAGTGTATGTTTTGCTTGCATTTTGCCTCACCTGCACCTCTATGAAACCAGAAGTTAAAATGCAAACAATCCTAAAAAAAACAAAAGAAGAAAGACCTGGAATCCACATGTGCAACGTTTTTCCAACAGATGTAACCAAGACAGAGAAAGGGGGAAAAAAAAAAGATGACTACACAGCCTGCTATATTTCACTATTTCCATTTTTCTATCAGCTCTGTGTGAGAACAAAAAAAGTCACAGAATTTTTTTCACTTGACTGTGGATCACAGCTGAGTCACTCACAGACTCACAGTTGTGCTGAGAAGGCCAGAATTTTTTGTTTTTTCACAGAATCTGGTGGTTGTAAACAGTTTATTTTTGGCAAATTTTAGAATGATTTAAAGGTCAGACGTGGTTAATTTTATTGGCGGAATAGCACGTCTCACACACATGAGCAGTTCAACGCTGCCAGAAACATGGAAATCTGAGGATCCTTCCTGTTTATTTACAGTTTCTGGCTTAGATAAATGGTGTAATTAGAGAATTTTTCTAAAAGCAACATAACTTTAAAATGTTCTGGGGGTGTTTGGGGTTCAGACAGTTGATCTAAATGTCTGTAGTTCTTGTGATATGTCAGAGTCAGTATTACAAAACATTGCTTAAGAATAGTTTTAAAACTTCAGGAAGCTAAAAAAAATCCTAAACAAATAGTAATTTCGTGACTGTTGGATACTTCAAAGTACAATAAACACACAATACAAGCACAGTATTCTATGTATAGTGTACTCCTGGATATACTGCTAACTATTTTCAGTTTGCTCCAATATGCAGCACACAGTATTTAACTTGAAAAAGGTCCGTTTATTAGGATACTTAGTTCAGCCAGTAAAGCTTTCTGCACCGATTTTACAGTACGTCAGCCTTGAATCTGAGCTGTAGCCAGAGGCAGGCATCACGCTGGGAGGTGTGGAGGAACCGAAGGCCTGAGTAATTGCATTGTTCACTCACTCGTTCACTGTCCGTCTGCCGGTTTAACTGCTCAGATGCGTTTGTTTTTGCTGTATGTTCATGATATGTGGATGAGATTATTTCATGTACGATTAGGAACATTTAGGACGCTGTTGGCTTTTTAATGAGACACAATTCAGGATGTTTGGCAGCTAAATGTTTATTTCAGATCTGCTTTAATGTTGAGATGGCTTGCAATGCGTTAGGTCTTGTGGGCTACAGATATAAAAGGTATCTTTTGCTTAGTGCGACACAAATTTGTAATTTCAGCACTGACACTGAACGTGAAGCGATGCAAACTAAGTAAAAGTAAAAATAAAAATCAGCTACAACAAAACCTGAAGAAACACCACAAAGCTCTGTTTAATTAGTGCGAAGCCAAATCTGATTGCCATCCAAAGCATAAAACTGTTAGTCAGCGTCTTTTGTTGACTTTAATCTGTTTTTTATTTTTGATATATTTCTTTAATCCCTGTCTACTTGTAACATTAAACAGAGACAAAGGAGCATTTAGGTATATAAAATATACAGCAAAAAGAGTCTACAAAGTGAAATATAGACAAAAAGAAAGACGGGAGACGTGAAGCTTGTGTTCAGTCTTTGGAGGAGACTCTGACAGACATTAAGGCCCTGCAGCTTCTCAACAGCAGCCAAATCATCAGACACAGAAAAGCCCACTGAGAGGCCTTGATAGAGCTGGAGGGGGTTTCAGTTATTAGCAAGAGAAGAAAAAAGTGCTCAAGTGAGGGTTTGAGTTACTACTACAGTACAGTGCTCTAACATTAAGGCCTCGGGCTACCTTTAGAAGAACAATATAGTGCTGATGAAATCCCCACCTATAGCGGGTTCTCTCGCGTTATTTTACACGTCACCGCTTTCATTCTTCACGTTCATACACAGAAGAGAGATGAAAGCATTGCCTACAGTACACTCAGATAAATCAACACCCAGCACCTTCAACAAAACAGCTTTTAGCAGAAAAATACCATCTAAAAAGGATGCACAGAATCATTAGCTCATGTGTTGGAACAGCGAGCAGAAGCTAATCTTCATTTGCACTTGATTCATCTCCACTGTAATATAGATTTCACATTTAAAAAATCAATACTAAGAGACACAGGCGGTAACAGTCAGCTGTTTCTATGGATGGTGGCAGCGTCGTCTTTTAACAACTGTAGCAAGAACCCACAAAAAAAGGGGGTATAATGATGAAGAATTTCATAAATTGGACATTAAGTAATGAAACCACTTTTAAAATTGTAGGCATGACAATGCTACACTTACTAACCCTCTGAACCCTGAGCTGTTTTCTTGCTGCTGTCACATTTTCACTCACTGGTGGCTCATATTTCACTGTAAAATAAAGTCCTGCACCTCCATGGAAACAGCCACAGGGTTTAAACAATGCTGTTTGTTCAGTATGACAAAGTTATAAAGCCATAAATCCTAGAATCTTTGATTATTTATTTAAGAAAATCTGAAAAAAAAGGTACAACCAACACTGGAAAAAATAGAGGACCTACACACTCTATGTGTTCTACTACTTATATTTTATATTTACTACCTTTATCTCCTCTCTCTGTGGGAACGCAGGCTGCAGTTCAACAGATCAGTCCCTGAATTTTTGTCATGTGATTGTTGGTCACAGCTGAGTCAAACGTGGCCTCTAAGAATTTTATGTTTTTTCTAGAATTGGGTTACTGCTATTAGTTTATTTTTCCAGATTTTTAAAAAAATTAAAGCACATAAAATTTAAATGATTTTGATAAAAATCATGACTTTAAGCTTAGATTTAGTTAATTATTTCACTGCAACATGGCAAATCATACGTAAGTAGTTCAAGGATGTATGAAGATCCAACAATTTTTACCATCCTTTAAATTTCACACCCTGAAAAATAAAGTCATTGTGATTATTTTTTTTGTTTGCTTTTAAAAATAACACGTCTTTCAAACCCATATCCAGGTTTTTTGGTTTAGAGGGTTAAATGTAAGTTCTATTAATGGAATATTAAGCCTGACTTTATTTCGTCATTGTCAGGCGCACATTTGCTGAATTATCCATTGGAG